TCATATTATTTTATAAAAGATCTTTCTTTTTGACAATTTTTCTATCTTAGACTCTATAAATGTATTCAATATGCTTAAAGCTTAGCTAGCATTGGAAGATTATGTTTGTAGGCATAACAATGACTTATTTGATAAAGTCCATAATATCAGAAACATTATTCTTTGGCAGTCCCTATTTAGAGTTACTCTGAAGAGAATAAAGAAATATAAGTTAGATTAGGAATAGATTATATCACAGATGGTATTATGTAAGAAGGTATCAGATGTGTTGAAAGAAGCAGACCCTTGGTCAAAGAAGCAAAAGGGGGTCAGTAAGTATTTTTTTTGCATTTATTGGAGTTTGTATTAATATGCTCTAATATGCTCGGTCAAATACTGCTAGGTGAAAAAAGGAATCTATACTCAGAAGGTTGACTTAGAAGTTATCAGCTTTACAAGTAATAACTATTCCTTAAGTTCAATGGCAAGCATGAAAGATATTGACCTCTTAAGTAAGGATAAATTCATGGTTAATAAGATTAGTATACTAAAGATCAGAAATAAATTAAACATAGATGAATGCCCTGATTATAGTTATAATAGAGCCTTATAATAACCATGGAAATTAAAAGTCCAAGTGCAGAAAAAAAAGAGATATGTATAATAATGATAATGACAGATAATGAGCAATAATATTTCCAATATCAACTAAGAGCTATGAAAATATTGTGTTTGACCTGAGTGTTAGAGAACTATGCTTAGTAACTCCTCCTCTAGTGTTGACTCTAATACATAGATATTCAATAGCTACTGTAAACCGAGTCATCCATCAGAGCAACTTATTATCAGTGATATGATTAGTATTTATCAATACACCCTATAAATAAGTTCTATGTCTATTATTTTTCTGCTATCATACATATTTTAGAATAGGATGGAGGCTATGTAAGTTTAGGGTGCATACCACTGCTGGTATGTTGACTTATCCTTGTACTATTTGTCTTCTACTTTGGACATTTTTTATAGTAGCAGTAACTTTAAAGATAGTTATTTTCTTTTCCTCACTTATCTATGATTCTGGCATTATAGTGATTTGCATCTTGTAAATTTATTTGTAAGTATCTATTTTATTTGTCTTGTATTACTCAGCAGCTGATGTAACTTACCCCTTTTCATTCATAGGTTTTAAGATGTACTTAAGTCATAGACTCTAGCGAAAGGTTTTGCAGTTAACTTTACTTATATCATATTACTATATAGCAAGTTCTATATTTTGTAGTATACTGATTCATGACATTTATATGATCAAAACAGAAATAGATTTCAAACTCTGAAATAAATTTCTTTTTTATTAGTTATATAATTATTTATCTCTACAATATACATTTCTATGCACTATTATACTTACAGTATCATTGCTTACACTTTGCTACCTATTCACATAAGTGCCTAATCTCTCTAGTATATTCTTCTGTTAAGTTATTACTTATCTTTGGATTGTGACTTGTTTGTTTACATTTGTTTATCATATGTCACCCATATCTCAGGTCAAGTGCTCCCTACCTCTTCAGCAACTTACTCTAGACTCTAGTCTTAATCTCTTTTGGTCTCTTAGTAACCTTTGGAAGCAGTCCACTTTACTCTTATTTTCATATTTTCTTGTACTAGTACATATATTAGAGAGATTTTTAATAGTCTCCTAAGACGCAGTCAATTCATTAAACCTATCACTCAGACACTTCTCTATTGCCTATAATTCTTTTTATACTTTATTAATTTCTTAGAAAATATAGGTATCAAAGAATAATGGAGAACTGATAGCCTAGCTATCTACTTATCATAATGGCCATTCAGGTCATTTTGATTAGCAAATGTAAACTTTCATTAGAGAACTATTAAGATAATAATAATAATTCACTTAACATATGAATTATTGAGTGTTTATTTGTTGTGCCTTCAGTTGAAACCTCACTTCCTTAGTTTCAACCTCCTTTAGTGCTAGTGAGACAGTAAGAACCAAACAGAGATTAAAAAACCCACTGAAGGAATTGCACCACATGTCTTACTTGAGTTACCAAGTACTGGCCTCACCAATGTATATGAACCTTTTAAATATGATTAAGTCTATAGTTACAACACCTCTGCTCCAATAAGTAAACTAATTGTATATAATTGCCTTGTATAGTCCTAGGGTGAGGCTGTGAAAGACAACCCACTCTGGAGTTTCTGGTAGCCCGTGTAGGAGCATCCATACTGCCTCAGAGTCACTGAATGTAATACCCATTTCTACGAACCTTTGGCACCCGATTTTGAAGACACTGATATATCATGATGCATCTTCAGCATCCTTGAGTCATTCTGAGAATAGTTGGTTGTAGCTCGAATTGAGAGGTTACATCGAGTCAGCCGAAATGTTTTGACAGTGTGTTCCATTGCTGGCAAGCCGTTAGCTTTTTGCCAAGCATGTTCTGAACGATGGGAGAGAGATGTCTGCCGATTATAACTTTAGCTTGGGTGTCCTCTTTTACCCATTCCTTGATGGCAGTAAGTTCTGTGCTGGTGGGCTGTCCTGGCATAGCTACTACAGGCATGATGCTGGCATGTTCTGCTATGTCATTGGGGTCCGTGCCATCGCTGCAGTGGTTCAATAGTCCGTCGCCAGCTAGTGCCAGCTCCACAGCTCTTCACCAACTGAGATAGATGTCCGTTCCAATGAGCTCTATGATATGGTTGTATTTACCCATACTAGCACATGAGCGAATAAAGTGCTTTGAGAACGGATACGAGTGTCTTCAACGTGAGTATGGGTGTGAGCTCTAGTTGAGCTCAGGGCTCATAACCTAAAGGCGCTAGTGTAACTAGCGGATGAAGACACACTATAGGTTACATCAGTAAGAGCAAGACGAGCAAGAGAAGAGAGTCTGCATACCTCAGTATGTTCGAGAACAATACTGAGGTGATGTACGGAGCGATTGAAACTAAATACACAAGTCCAAGAGATTAGGTAAGGCTACTGGAGAAAGGTCGAGCGGAAGGTCCATGCAGACGAGAAGTGAAGTGCTATGAGGATCTCAAGAAGAGATTGTAATACATGTGGTATCGAAGATGATAAGATCAAGAAGGTAATGTCAACTCTAAAGGTAAATGAGAGAAGCAAGGACAAACATCAATACCCTTTGTGTACGGTCTTAACACAAGTATATAAGAACTGAGCTCCTCATGTTTTTTCTTCTTGCTGATCAAACTCTTAAGATAAGGGGCATGCTCCATGATGTATTTGAATGTCAATTTGTAGCATGCATATGTATGATCATCACTGAAAATGAAATTAACATGCATATATATGCATATATACACTCAAACAGACTTACATATTATGGAGGATATTTGTATAGGAAATCTTGGCATGTTCTTCCATTGGATCTTTGTCCTCAGCTGCTTCATCTTGCTCTAAAAGTAGACATACCTAGATTGCTTGCTTAAGATTGTATAATATATCCAGGCTACATGGAATCTATCATGCAACATATATGCACTGGTCACATGGAGTGAGCTCTTTGTGATATGATCTTCTAGAATATCATCAAGATGAGATTCATCTAATTGCATGAAAATTAAATACTTCACCTTTTCATTTTCTCAGCCTTCCTTTCAGCTCTAACTGGGCTATGTATCCTATATGCCTCAGGTAGGCTCTGTTTGAAAACAACCAATATCATTTGATGACTCACCTGGCCTTTTTGGACTTAGACCCACCCTTCTCAGATGCTTGACGCATGTTAGATGCATCTAAGATGTCCCTTCCATATTTCCTGGATATTCAGAGCGGTGGCATACTTGGGGGAGTACTGACTTCCAATCCAGAGCTTATGGATGACACAGAAGATAGTGATGGGAGAAAAAGTTTGGATCTAAGATGTTGTAGAGTGTGTGATGTTAATATTGATACTGCTTGTATTTACTTGGTTATCCAATTAACACCCCCTGAATACATCTAGCTATACAAACTTGAAAAATGGAAACAAACAAATATACAGACAAATGCATCTTCAAATATTCATTGAGCATGGAGGTTCAGACATTGTCAGTTATGTTACTATATATATTAATATCAATATTGATAGACTTTAAGATTGGACAGTTGATATTACTGCAAGATTCCAGTGGAGTTTTAATTGAATATCAACCATATTGGGTCCATATCTTCAGGTGACCTTGCCCTGCCTATTACAGTAGCCTTGACTTCAGAGCTGCTTCACCAACAACAATCAACTCAAACATATTTGGGCAATGGCAAACAGTATGTCTGCTCTCAGATGTTATCACACTGACCTCACTCTGCAATCTGATTCTTAGACATTTCTCAGCTGTAGAGGTACATAACCTTGTTGTTCCAGAAGGTATATTACTGCCTTTCCAGACAGCATGTGTACATATATACATGTGTCTGACTCATGTCTCCACTGCTTAGAGGTGCATGTATTGTGCTGTCTGACTATGCTAACCACATCACTTCCCTAGATGCCTAAAACATGACATAGATTACCATTACTGTTCTGGCAAGAATGTTTGTGAAAGGTCATTTTGCCGTAGACCTTGAAGACTTTCATTGTAAGGTGCATTCATATGGTTTGCACTACTCATTTAGGTATTGACATATCCTTGCATAGATATATGTAATAGTGCTTGTATTTTAGATAAACTGCCTTAATAAATATTTCTTCCTCCCACCTAAATCTACAGTTGGTAAGGACATGTGCTCTTCCCTTCTCTACATTTTGTCTATAGTCAATGATCTCTGCTGCTTAGCCTATAGTGCAATGTTTGGCTCATGCAAGCAGCTGTCAGCACACATAGGTCAATGTGCACTAAACCTTTCTTTTACTAACCAAATCTTCGACCAAAAGTGAAAATTAGAGAGGAAGAAAAAGAAACAAGACAAGAGGGCTCATTGTAATAAGTCCTCTGTGTGTGTTTCTAATGATACTAATGTTCTAGAGCAGTCAGAGCTCTAGGACCCAATGTTTATCAAGCACAGAGACCTTGACATCAACAATGTATGTATTATTTTTGATAGCTGTATTATACTTACCACTTGTTTTCCTAGGTTGAAATGAATTGCCCATCATCTCCCTCACCTCCTCCCACTGTCTCTGTTGTCTTTCAGTGCTCTGGACACAGAATACATATGCCCACTCAGTTTGCAGACTTTCTGCTAGACAGTGCTACTCACCTTGCTCATATGCCGCCTACTGCTCATCAGTAATACTAGCATGATGTCTTCACAGATCAACACACAGATCAACCTTCTAACCCCCAGCCTCATACACCTTCTACACCAACACCTAAGCACCCCACTCTTGATCCATTTGAAACACTTCCAGATGATGCAGATCTCTTTTATATTCATCTCACACATCTAATGTTGTTGTCCAACAATAACATGCTTGAAAGTGTCACCGATGCACCAATACTTGCTGGGGGTGATTGGACTAACTAAATCTAGTTATATCACCAAAGGGTTATCATTGAAGGAGATCAGCAATGGTAATCTATATGCTACATTCTCTAATCCTACTGCTAGCCTTTTAATGGCCTATCAATATTCCTGAACTGGTCAGCAATCTGTCACTGAGTTGCAATGACTAAAGACTTTTGTTCGTGATCTACTTTTTAATCACACCAATGCTCTTTTATTTTCCCATACATGGGAAGCAAAGAACATTGATAGCTATTTACAGGACAAGGCCAATCCATTTCATGAGAAATATGGTTGGCACCAATTGGCTGTCAAGATCAGGTTACTAAAAGAGTGTATGAAGTAGTCATTAGAGACTGACACTCCAGAACTTGAGATCACAGCATCTATCATTGATTGATCTTTAATGTTATTGAGCTTCTTTTCAATGGATGATATGTGGCTTCATTCAATATGATGCTTTATTGTGAGTACTGGCAATGTTCTGAGGACCATTCAATTGAAGTCATCTCAGAAGCTTATTCTAGCCCTAAGATGCTAGAGAGTTATGCAGATATACTCAATTTACCTCAGGAACTAGGGAACAGGTATAAGTGTATCATGGCTTCACTCATGTTCTGGACTGATGTCACCCATTTGGTGAGTTTTTGGGACACCTCACTTTGGCCTTTGTATCTTTTTTTTGGTAATCAATTTAAATATTTGTGAGGCAAACCAACCACCTCTGCATGGCACTATGTAGCTTACATTCCCTTGATGAGTCTTTTGATCTCTTTTTGTTGACACACAGCTAATTTATACTGATCATAGTTACCAGAAGATCTTCAAGATCAATATATGAATATATTTGGTAACCCTACTACTAGTCAAGTACATACACTGTAAATGTGAACTGATGCAAGCAATATGAGCTCTGCTGCTAGATGAGAAGTTTATGCATACTTATGAGTATGGTATTGTGATAGAATATGGTGATGACATTACTCATAGGGTATTACCTCATTTTTTTACATACTTGGTGGACTATCCTGAGAAGTGAGTACATTAATTCATTTCCTTACAGAAGCATGCTAATATTTCACAGAGTCATTCTTACAAGCATCAAAAATCTCAGGTGATGCCTTTGTCTGTACTGTCTCACATGGAAGGACCAAGTTTATTTGATAGGAATGAAGCACAATATGAAATGGTGCATCAGACTCATGTGCAAGGATAATAGCATACTACACCGAGAAATTGATGATGCACAGGTCCTTATTTTTCAGTCAGGCACATCAGTTGATAGGACTCATGTGAAAAATATACTCAATAGCAAATAATTGGTTCCAACTCAAGTAAGTTTCTTTTTCATATTGTTATTGTACCAGCTAATTAGTGTATTATATAGAACACCTTTTCTGAGAAGCCATCACCATATACCAACTTTAACCAGTTTTGTATGTTCATCATTGATCAGCTGCATGAGTTTGAAATTGGAGCATGGAAGGCTGTTTTTACTCATTTAATACACATCCTACATGTGGCTGGGGGAAATGCCATCCAGAAACTTAATGAAAGGTGTATAATTTGAAATTTGTGCTATGATATTCTAATACACTTGCTTGGAATAACTAGGTATCAATATGTGCTAATATTTAGTAGAGGGATTATCAGGAAGTTTAGCTCTAATGCATCATCAATGGAGTGTCTGGCTACACACAATTTTGAGGATCTTCTACAGGTATGTATTTATTCAGATGTTTCAATCAAATCTTAATGATAAATATTTATAGTGTGCACTGCCAGTCTTTGAGGCCTTACTTCCTGGACAACATGATAAGATTGTTCAAGATCTCCTTTCTGATTTGGCAACTTGGCATGGATATGCAAAGTTGTGGATGCATACCGAAGACACCCTTGAATTCTTTAAAAAGGCAACAATCATCCTAGGACAGACTGTCCACAAATTTGCTCAAATGACATGTAAGTACTATAGCACTACAGAACTACCTTATAAGTATGCATCACACAGATGACAGGAAGCAACATTAGCATCTCAGCAGGAATCAACCTCAATCAAGGCAGTTCCATCCGGGCCAAAGCATAAGAAATTTAATTTGAACACCTACAAGCACCATGCCCTTGGTGATTATCCAGATTCTGTCCGACAGTTTGGTACTACTGATAGTTACAACACCCAGCTAGTATGCTTATTTTTCATTTATTTCAGCCTGTATATTAATCCAATATCTATAGGGCAAACAACAGCACCGACATGTTAAATAGTGGTATCCAGTCATCAGCAAAATCACATATTTCTTTTTTGGCTTTGTGTCACTTAATTGCGGTAAATTGTAGTTGTAATTTCAATGCAGTTTGTTGAATATGACTCAGATGTGACAAGTCGTGAAAATGAAGTTGTCCTCAACTTGCGCAAAGCCAAAAAAGATGGAAAACAGGGAAAAGCCAAAAAGTATATTCAAGTCATTCTAAGGACCATTAACATGCAGTAAGTGGTACAACTTGAATGCCAAGATATAGGACTCAGAATAAGTTACTATGAAGCAATTTCAAAGGCATGATGGTCAACATATTTGTTGACATAGTGAGCTCAAAAAGCATCATAGGAAGTATGTAGATTGACGTTTGAGGAAAGAAAATGGGTGCCATAGATGGAGATAAGGTGAGTCGCATGGTAGATTGTTTCCACATGTATGATGCTGTATAAAGGTGTATGGTTAGCACTGTAGGCTGTGTGAACCATCTCTACATTCCAGTATCTTCATCTGGCAAGTCTCCAATAACATTGAACCAGCACATAATGGTACATGGAAATATTTTACTGCCATATCTGAATAAAAAGAAAGCATGAACCCTTGCAATTTCAAGTCCTCAGATGCCTTCTGTACTGGATCCGATATTGATGAAAATACAGTTATTGCATGGAGCTTCATTCTACCACAAAGAGTATGCATGGATGTGCTCGACCCGCATGCCCCCAATCCTACTAATATTGCTCAGTGCATAGACCCTGATCTTGGTCATCATCAGGCCTGCATGTTTGCTCGAACAGAAAGCTACAAATCAGATCAGAACAATGGTGAAGGTTCAATTCTTTAGCTAGAGCCAATACATTGCATGTACATTTTATTTCTGTATCATGAGGAGCTGCATTAGACCGTACTTAATAGGAAAATAACTCATGAACTGTCCGTGCTAGCCATGTATGTGCCTGTAAAATAGTTGGTCCATGGTCTACTGGTACTGGTGCCTCATCAGCAATACTACTGGGCAAGGGATGGACTTCATCATTAGGATTGTTGTTGCTAGCTGTGTCTGCAAGACCTGTCATTATCAATTAATGGTATGAATGACTGTAATTGATTTTAAAAAATCACCAAGAGCTTTGAGTTCTGCTGCAAGACAAGTACTATCCAACCTCCTGCAATTGGCAAAGTTAACATGTGCGGCAGCCAGCTTATCGAGATACTGATTAGTTACCAACATCTGACCAAGGCCATTGTATTTGCTTGAATACCTCTATGGCTCTTTGATAGCTTGAATATGCTTACTCTCAGTGATAGATGAACAGAGCCCATTGGGAGCACTGAATTGCTGAATAAGATAGACATAGTGAACAAGGGAATGTTGGTGTGGAAGTGAGAAGATGGTGATAGTGCCAGACTCTACAAAATTGTGCGGTGTTGATGATAATGAGAGAGGGTATCTCGAATCTCAGCCAGAGTGCTCTTGGTAATGGTATTCCAGTGTACAAGGTAGCAGAACTCAAGAAATGCATAAAATGCACAAACCATAGCCTGTGGTACATGGCCCTTGATTGTGGCCAAGTAAACCTAAGTAAAAATGCCATCTCAGTGAAATGAATTTAAAAAAAGTATTCTGATACCTTCATGAGGGCTTTGAATTGTCCCTCATTCATTGTTTGAAGCCCCATCCTTGTGGGAAGCGATGCAGGCCAGTAAATGAGGCAACAGCTGCTATTCTACCATGAGAGGAGTTGGTTTATAAGCACAGTAGCACAGACCACCAGTAAAAATATAAATTACTCACCTATGATCAATGTTGTCTAAAATGCAGAGGCCATCACATTTTCTGTGTGTCTGCATGATATATATCTCCACCCAGGAAACAAGATGATCTGTGAAAGTGTCTTTAATGATTTGATGCAAAAGGTCTGGGGCGATCAGGTAGTATATGTTAGCTTGTGGGAAATCATTTATAAACGGCTGAGTATAAGAAAGTAAGCAGACACTGGGGGCAGGAACCAATTTGCCCATGAGTCAAATGTTGAACCTAGTGTGATCTCAGACAGATTCAGGTCACCTTTGGTTTTGGCAGATAATGTCAACAAAAATTAAATTTTGGCTTGTGTTTGTCTTACTTTATCTCAGTTTGAGTCATCCTGTCATATATACATTATAATCATCTTGTCTACATATTTTTATCAGACATAACATTTATCCTGGCATATGTTTTTGTTGTCATTTTGGCATAGGATCACATAATGATCACATTTTCAACAAGTCTCAAACTTATGTTTTGAGTAAATTTTGACTAAGGTTTATTCTTTTTTATTCTTTTTTTCATTGGAATCGAGCTAGGAAATTTTTGTCTATGAATGCAAGCAATATATTACTTTGATTCTGATCACATTTTGGAGTGCTTTCAATTTATAACACCCTATGTTCTACTTATTTCTACACTTTTGTTCCTCTGATGTATAATAAAAAATACAAAATCAATGATAGAAAAAAATTTGACCAAATGTTAAGATAATATATTCTTTGCTCTGTAAACAAAATCAATAACAAAATAAAATCTGACCTTTTTTTGTTAACAAATCAAATTTTGACCAAAGTCAACATCAATAGTCAGTAGTCAACAGTTCACAGGTTGATCAATTATCATATGTTTACCTGTTAACTGTCGACTGCTGACTAGTAATATTGACTTTGGTCAAAAGTTGATTTGCAAACCAAAAAAAAATCAGATTTTACTTTGTTGCCAATTTTGTTTACGGA